CTCTTTGGTTAGCTTACCACCTCCAGATAATGCTATCGCAAAAGCTTATCTTGATCATCTCAACTAACATAAACTATTACAATTTCTTATGGGACTGAATGTCTCATATTCTATGGTGCGTAGTCAAATTCTTCTCATATGCCCATTACCTTTTGTTAAACAAACCTATTCAATGGTGAACCAAGATGAAAGTCAAAAGATATTGTCTAGAATGAGCATTAACTTTGATTTTACCGCTATTCTCTATGGAAAAAATAATAAAAGGAATTAGAATCAAAGTTCGAAATATAAAGGGAAGAAGCCATATATAGAATGTGATCATTGTCATTTGCCTGGACATAAGAAAGTTACTTGCTGCAAACTACATGGTTATCTTGCTGATTTCAATTCACAAAAGGAAAAAATAAGGCAAAGTCCTCAGCTAATCAAGTGCAAGCTCAATCTTCTAGTACAGCTTCTGAGGCCTCAAATCCTAGTTCATCTCTTAGGAATGTTTTGTCTGTAGAACAATACAGTCAACTTTTGCAATTGCTGGGAAAGGAGAATGTTGTTCTTCCAGTAGCTAACCTTGCAAGTAATTTCACATCTTTATATTCAAGTCATGATGTTGATAATTGGATTATAGACTCGGGTGCCACTGATCACATGACACATGTATCAGATTTAGATATGCTTATCAAAACCTTTTGTAAGAAACATTGTTCTACTTATGATGTAAATTCTGTTTAGAAAGTGAATAAAGGATATGTTTCTCTTTCTTCTTTGGTTGCATCTCCATCTTGTATGCCTCTAAATTTTGAACTTTGGCATAGAAGACTAGGACATGTTCCTTATTCATTATTGAAATAAATGCATAATGAGTGAAACACTCTACATCCACCTCATTGTTCTATTTGCCCTTTAGTTAAACAAACCAGGATTCCATAAGTTGAAATACAAAGCTGATGGTTCCTTAGAAATATACAAGGCAAGATTAGTTGCTAAAAGATATATACAATAGGTAGGTATAGACTATGATGAGACATTTTCTCTTGTAGTATACTGTTATAACCATTTTGACTTTAGCTTCTATGTATAATTGGCCTCTCAATCAAATTGATGTAGACAATGCTTTCCTACAAGGTGATTTAGATGAAGATATATACATGACTCTTCCATAAGGGTTTGTCAATCAAAAGGAGAAGAACTTGATTTGTAAACTTCATAAGTCTTTTTATGGCCTCAAACAAGCTTATACAGCATGGAATCATAAACTTACATCAACTCTTATTTTTGAAGGCTTTCAACAATCCAAATCAAATTATTCTCTTTTTATCAAGAGAAATAAAACTCAATTTGTTTTGTTACTTGTTTATGTTGATGATGATATAGTCTTAACAGGAAATGATTTGGATTTGATCAATGATACATAATATAAGTTTTCTCTCTACAAAGCTTCTCTATTCTTGGACTACTAACATTCTATACATGCACTATGATATTGCAATCTATAAATCATAATAAGTTTCTGTATTGATGATAAATATTCTTTAACAAAATAATTTTTTGGTTTATATCTAAGATAGTAAAACTATATATATAATTTTTTTATCATCAGGGTGTCCGGGCTAGCTTACGAGCACCTCAACTAATTTCTCAAGATCTTAAAAGTCCAACTGGGTAATCCTCCAGTAACCATCCATATTAGCTCCTGTAGGGACTCGAAATCAAGAGCTTGAGAAACCTCTTTTTGTTTTTTTACCATCAGGCCACCCAGTAGTGGTTAGTAAAACTATATATTAAACTTTGATTTAGTTATATATGTGACACAATATTTAAAATAAAGGCAAAGCTATAAATTATAAAATTAAGTTTATTAAAATTATAATAATGCTTGAATGATGGATCATATTTTATATTGTTAATATGCTATAATTATGTTAATATAAAATATTTGATAAAAACAAATTGATTAATAAACTTGTTAGCCACACAAATATCAAATTTTCACAATTTTAAGATACTATGTGAAACAGTTTTTTAAAAAGTATTATAAGTATTAAATCAAACATATTCTTAACTTAAAAAAAACAAATTAAAATTCAACTCAAAAGTTTTAATTTTATCTTGTTTTTAAAACTGTTTTAAATAACCAATCAAACGTCTCATTTTTCTTTTTCACAATGTTGTAGTCAATACAATTTTATAATCTTGATTCACTCTTTTAATTGAAATTGAAAGAAAGAACATTTCATACAAAATTGTGGTATTACAATAATAAATAAATAAATAAAATATTCTTATATATAATCATCTTTACTAATCTTAATTCCTCAAATGTTAAAGGTTTTATTTAAAGGACATATTTAGCTATAAAATCATATAACTTAACTTAATTATCCTTAATGAAAATAATAAGGATAAAAATAGTCAGAATTCGTTAGACTATTAAGTCTAGCACCATCTAGCATGATCTAGCATGCTTAAATTAAACTGTTAAATCTTATGTAGTCTAGCGTTATATATTAGGAATATACTATTTGTTGTTTCATCAAAGGTATAATTAGTAAATAATTGGATTTTACGACTAGATTTATTATTTAAGTAAATCTGGTATATTTTTAAAAAATCTAACTATTGAATTAGTTATATATGTCCAAACCCTTAAATTAATACTGTTACATATACAAAACAAAACAACATGACACTTCTCTTTTATTGTCAAGTTATTTATTGAATATATTTTGTTTATAAATTAACAATTTACTTTGTGTTTGATATTTATAATAAATAGTAAGATATAACGTCACTTTTCAGATCTTGAAATATAAATTTTTTTTTTTTAATTTTCTGCATTTATTTATATTCCTTAAATACTAAAATATTATTGTAGATAGCGAAATTGGAAAAACTTGATCAACTAATAAACCAATGGACCCCTCAAGAAACGACGACGGTCGGCTCAGGACGTTGAAGTGTAAATCAATCACAAATGTGGATGAAAATATCTAGAGAAGATCCTAACGATATTTAACTTTATCTACAAAGTCAATAAATCGACGTCGTTCTAACACGTCAGCATGAGGCATAGAGACTCCCTCATCACTAATTGATCAAACGGCTAGAATCGTATCTCAGTATCATTACAAAAGTGATGACTTTTTTGGCAAGACAAGATTAACGTCTTCTTCTCCTTTTATGTCTTGTCAGATGACTAACAACAGTTTCTGCAATGGGGCTTATCTATTTCATGTGGGCATCATAAGTTTAAGAGAATTTATTTTTTTATATCCGATTAATATGTTCAATGTATATAGTCCAATCAATCACGATTTATTATTTTAATTTTTGTGATTTTGAGATATGTATGCGTGATGTTGTTTCAATATGCAAGGTTTAGTGATTTACACGTAAACCGTGGTTAGTCACACTCACATAGGAAATTCTTATCCAAATTTCTCTAAACTTTGCATTTCTCCTTTCATTCTATTTTGGTATGTGAATTTTATTTTATGTTTAGATAATTGATTTATAGCTATTGAATAATTTTCTTATTAAAAATATTGTTTTATTAATCTATATAAGAAATTAAAACAAGTATATTTAATGTGACATTTTCCCATAAAAAATGATGTAATATGTTAATCTCATCTTTTTTTTTTTTTCTATTATTTAGGGTTAATTTCACATGTGGCTAAAGAAATGCCCTCAATAATTTGTAGAAACTATTAAATACCCCATATAATTACCAAAAAATCTCTATATAAAAAACTCCCAATAAATTATCAAAAACGGGGTGTTTAATAGTTTTCGACAATTATTGAGACGCTTAAAACTTAATCATCTATCTAGATCAAATGAAATTGATCTTATAATTTAATATAAAATAAAAAAATGTGATAAATAATATAATATAATGATAGTTGATCAATTTTTCTACATAGAATATAGATATGTACAAATGTTATCCAAGTGATTAAGTACCAACTTTGTTAATGTCAAATAAACATTGAGATATTAACACGAAAGCCAGCTAACGATACAATAATATCAAATCAATTGTCTATTAATTAATCAAGTTAAAATAATTTAGGTCTTAAATTTGCTTACTCTAATCATTATTCAAATGCTAAATGATCTTATAAAAGATAACCTTATAATACGGACGTTTATGATACTCAACAAAATGTATAAACTTTGACCACAGTACATAAATTAAATTAATAAAAAAATAAATAACGGGCTATATTAGAGCCACGTATAATTTAGATTTCTTAATATTATAGTGCAAAGTTTTCAAGTCACAAGCGTCTGCGCACGTGCTATATCCATTCCCTCTAGTTACATTGAACATAAATCATTTTCAAACTTAGGTGCTATAGGATGGATAAAATTATGTTTAGGTCCTGTGGTTTACAGTCGGCAAACTTTAATCTATTGAAATAAAAAATATAACGCTTTAATCCTTGAAAATGAGCACTCCGGAATTGGGCAAAAAACCAAATTGAACAAAAGCAAACCGTTAACCAAAATCGAACCAAACTGAATTGGTAAGTAAAATAGAACAAAATTTGATTTTTGGTTGGGTTCAATAGGTGGTTCAAAATTTATTAGACCCTTGAATTGAACAAAAATGAACCTTTTTTTTTTTTTTTTTAAAGTTTAAAAACCATGTGTTATATGAACAATACTCTTGATCGTATATAATTACTCGTTTTAGTTTGGTTCAATTCTCGAAAGAAAAAGCTTAGAACAGATTTGATATGGTTTAGTCCCAAATTGAACCAAATCAAATTTTTATCTACCCCGACTTTGGATCATATAAAATAAGAAATTAACACATTTAGGACCAATATTAAGGACTAAGTTGTCACTTTCTGATTTTACTCAATAGAAGCGGTAACGTAAATTGTAGGGACCTATATGTAGTTGATCCGCCTGTTACAAAATACCAATGAGATTACGGGTCATCCAAGCGTCTCTTCAGAATCTTCTAATCTTTTTAATTTCTTGCAACCTTCCATTTCCACAATCAAACTCAACTTTTTTCTTTCATCACTTTCCGAGAAACTCCCTTATCCCCTAGAAAATCCTATCTCCGTACCCTATAAAGTTGCTCACATTTCATTTCGATTTCACTTGCCACCACTTTCTTCATCTCCTTATTATTCCACCATGGATGTTCTTGGTGTTCATCATCAAATTATCAAATCCAAGAAGCACAAAAACAAAAGATCCAAAAAGGGCATCAAAGTTGTGTACATATCATCCCCCATGAAGGTCAATACTTGTGCCTCAAATTTTAGAGCTCTTGTGCAAGAACTGACGGGGAAAGACTCCGACGTCGACGCCTCGGCTTCGCGCTTCGTTGAAAACCCAAATCCTAACAAGCTTGTTGACGATCAAGATGCGGTTGGGAGTGATCATTTGATGGGTTTGTTGAGTGAGTCGTCTCCTACAATTTCTGGTTCAGACATGGAGTTGGTTGATGATGTATTTATGCCGCATAGAGAAGGAAGTTTCTTGGGAATGTTTAGTTCAAATTTTTTTAGTGATTTGTCTTTTCAGTTTAATCATCCGATTAGAAGCTTTGATTCAGTGTAAATTTTGGATGAACTCTTAGAGTTCTTCATATTTGATCTTACGTTTATGTAAGTATATTTATTATATAATTTAATATCTAGTTTTTTTTTTTTTTTTTGTTAATTAATTTTTGCTATTCATGCATGGATTTGTCTTCCCCTCTCTGTTTTAAGATTATATATTTCTTTATTGAAATTTAATAAAAATTACATTGCATAATAAAATTATTAGTTAATTTTATACGTATATGTATATATGAAAATATTTTAGAAAATAGTGGCTACATTTAGTTTATTATTTGATACTTTTTAGAATATTATTTTAAAAATAAAGTAAAATTGGATGGTTATTACGAGGTAGGATTTGAAAATTAATAAAAACATCCCCTAGTTTGTTAACTTACTAAAAACCCATGTAATAAAACATTAAAAATTAACAAAAACATCTTTACCCACCTATTAAATACCGGCAATTGGCCATCACCACCAGATGGTGGTTGGAGTCGCCATATCGGCGCACGACTAGTTGGATTTGGTCGATTGTGCACCAATATAGCATTTTCCAGCCAGATTCACCGTGAATTTGACCGAAAAAAGTCATATTCACAGCTACATATGGCCATTGACGGCCAGATCTGGCCACGTTTGTTGGTCAACAACAGCCAAAGATATGATCATCGTTGATGGTCAACGATGACCATATCTTGGTCATCGTTGACGACTAGCTAAGGCATAGATCTGACATTTTTAGGCCAAATCCATGATGGATATGGTCGGAAAAAACTAGATCGGTGCATTACCGGCCAGATCCAGCTTGTAGTGCTCCATTATACCAAATTCTGATCACCTTTTGACGGTGGTGGCTGGAATCTGGCAAATGTCGGTGGGTGTGGGTGTTTTTGTCAATTTCTAAACTTTTTTGGGGGGGTGCTTAGTTAAATTAACAAACCTAAGGGGTTTTAAAAACTGAATAAAATAGAATAGTATTTTCAAAATAGGAAAAGAAATGTGTATTCTTGGTAGGATAGGGAAAAAAAATTGAAACAAATGCACCGTTATATCGTAATACATATAAAAAGGATCATATATATTGAAACTGGAGAAATATTATTAGTTATTTGTTAATCTTCCGCTATACAAAAATTAATTTGGAAATCGAATTATGGATATTCTCTTCATTAATTACATTATCTACCTGTTGATACAAAAATCTACACCAACCAGAGAATTTTGACTGACTCTGTCATAACCAAAATGAATGTGCACATGATTTAATAAAAATTAGCAATGAATAAAAAAGAAAGAGTTATAAATAAGAACACAAGATAATTTTTAAAGTAATTCGACAAGTTATAACTTGAACATACGTCCACTGTTATCTTATTGCTTTTAAGAGCTTACAAAGAACAGTATAATTTTTAGGAAAATTGACTTAGAATAATTGCCTAGCCCCTCATAAAATAAGTTATGATGGGTTTATATAACACCCATTTACATGATAGAGTTGAGATACGATTCAAATACGTAGGATTAGAAAGTTGTATGATCTTCGACTACCTTAGTTAGAATTTAAGTCAATCTGAATATCTTCTTTATAAATTAAGTTAATCTAAATATATTTTCTCTTAATAGGGAATTATCCTTTCCGGATTGACTGCACGATACTACCAATAAAATTTATGCTATTATTTTTATTTTTATTTTTCTTATGTATCTTTGATATATTAGAAACTTGCAATTAAGCTTAGAGATAAATGATTGTGTCTTCTATAATTATTTTAAAAGTTTTTAACTATTAAAATATGAGAGTAAATCTTCCAAACTTGAATAGACTTCTAATCACATCATATCACATTAATTATATACGTGGCCGTTACATATGTTGAAACTTGTCATCAGATTGTGATTGAACAAATATACATGCCATTAAATGCGTTCGATTGGAAATATGTTTTTTTTTAAAGATAAACGTACTCGTAATCCTAATTAGTAAAAACGCGTATTATACGTGAATTATATGGACAATCGTATAATTCGCATATAAAATGTCCGTATACGTATTTTCTAAAATCTGTCGAATTATACGCGTATTTTAAGCCCTCCCGAATTATTCGCGAATTATTGAAAAAAAAAAAACAAAAAAGGTCACCCCCAAAACGACGTCGTTTTGTGGGTTTTTTTACTAAAAATTAAAGCAGATCTCAGTCTTNTTAATTAATTTTTGCTATTCATGCATGGATTTGTCTTCCCCTCTCTGTTTTAACTTTTAAGATTATATATTTCTTTATTGAAATTTAATAAAAATCACATTGCATAATAAAATTATTAGTTAATTTTATACGTATGTGTATATATGAAAATATTTTAGAAATTTGGTTCGTTATTCTGATATAGTATTTCAGGTTTGTTAATTTACCAAAAAACCCTGTAATAAAATATTAAAAATTAATAAAAACATCCTTACTTACCCATTAAATACCAGTAGTTGGCCACCACCGTTGGAGGGTGGTTGGAGTCACCATATCGATGTAAGACTGGCTAGATTTGGTCGGTTATGTGTCGATATAACATTTTTCTAACCAGATCCACAGCTACACCTGACCATTGACGGCCAAATGTAGTCTCGTTTGATGGTCAGATCCAGCTGATAGTGCACCATTATATCAAATGCTGCTACCTTTTAGCGGTGGTGGCTGGAATCTGGCAAATGTGGGTGAGTGAAGGTGTTTTTGTCAATTTCTAAACATTTTTTGAGGGGGTGTTTAGTTAAATTAACAAACCTAGGAGGTTTAAAAAATTGAATAAAATAGAATAGTATTTTCATAATAGGAAAACAAATATGTATTTTCGGTAGGATAGGAAAAAGAAATTGAAACAAACGCACCCAGAGATATCGCAATACATATAAAAAGGATCATATATATTGAAACTAGAAAAATATTATTAGTTATTTGTTAATCTTCCGCTATACAAAAATTAATTTGGAAATCGAATTATGGATATTCTCATCATTAATTACATTATCTAGCTGGATACATAAATCTGCATCAATCAAAGAATTCTGATTAGCCCTGTCGGAATCGAAATGGATGTGCACGTGATTGAATGAAAATCAACAATGAATAAAAAGAAAGAGTCATAAATAAGAATACAAGACAATTTTTAAAGTAGTTTGGCAAGTTAGAACTTGAACATACGTCCACTGTTATCTTATTGCTTTTCAAAGTTTACAAAGAACTGTATAATTCATAGGAAAATTTGCTTAGAACAATTGTCTAACCCCCTAGAAAATAAGTTATGATGGGTTTATATAGCACCCATTTACATGATAGAGTTGAGATAAGATTCAAATACGTAGGATTAGGAAGTTGTATGATCTTCGGCTAATTTAGTTGGAATCTAAGCCAATCTGAATATCTTCCTTTGGAATTGAACCAATCTAAATATCTTCTCTCCTAATAAGAAATTATCCTCTTCGAGTTGACTGCACAACACTACCAATAAAATTTATGCTATTATTTTTATTTTTCTTATGTATCTTTGATATATTAGAAACTTGTAATTAAGATTAGAGATAAATGATTGTGTCTTCTATAATTATAGCTTTCTTGGAGCCTTGAAGTCTTGGCTAATTTGATCAATGTCATAATCATTGTTAGAGCTTAGATGGCATTTAATTTTGGGAACAAAATTCATACTTCTAAATGTCATAATCATTGTTAGAACTTAGATGGCATTTAATTTTGGGAACAAAATTCATACTTCTACATCTAATCAACCCAATCCCCTCTTACCTTTTTTTAATTTATTTTATATCATTTAATTTCCAAGTTCAACATATATCTTTAAATGGGATTTATATACACACCCCTAAATCTACTCTTCATTCTTCTACTAAGTACACTCACTATATAAAATTTTATGAATTAAATTTTAATCATCGAAAATATAATACATATAAACATTATAAATTCAGTATAGCAATATGTTGAATAGAAAAATACAAATAAAAAAAATTGATCAATTAAAAAAGAAACTTAACTCAACCAAATTAGAATGTCATTCTAATTATTTGTTTTACAAATGTTATAATGGGAATGAGAAAGTGAATAAGAGACTCCTCTCACTTTTATTTATATATATATATATATATATATATATATTTTTTTTTTTTTTAGTACAAAAAAAGAACAAAGGTCTCAATATTAAAGTTGTATATATTTAGTGGTGTTCCGCCTTCTTGTCTTTGTCTTGGCAATGTTCAATTGGCTTGGGGGGCGGCTGTAATTTGTACAACTCAAAGGAGAGAAATGTTTATGAAGAAGAATAACATTCTAGCCCTCCTATAGTCTCTCCATTTTCTGAGCCCATTTATTTTCCAACAAAAGCTCTTCTTTGTCCTCATTTTCCTACATAATAATAATAAAAATAAACCGAATCCAAATTCTTTGTAATTATATGATGTTGTGACTTTTAGTTAAAGGCTGAGCTAATGGTTGTCACTTGTCATCTATATATTGTCTCTCCCCTCGCAAATAATTCTTATTGCACCATTTGTGGACCATTAAAGTTCTTCAAATGAGTGTTTATTGCTCAAAACACTTGTCTTTCTCTGTATAATTGTATTTGATATTATTGTTAAGGAGGGTAATATTTTAGTAAAAAGAGTTTAATATTACCTTGTTCAAATTATCAAAACAGTCAGAATTATCTTATGAACTTGTTTCAAAGTGATAAGGTTACCCTAAAAATGTAATAATTCTTGATTTAAAATCATTTCGTAGAATTGATTGTAACGGTAAATTAATTTTGTAGTACAACATTTTTGTAATTTGCAAAGCCAATGTTCTTAGTTCTTATTTTGAAGTGGTAAAATTAATCAATGACATTTCATAAAACCAATTGGAACACTAAGTTAATTTGTCATACTAAATTTTGTAACTTATAATATTTTGGTAACATATAACTAGATTATAATAATTTTAATTTTTTCATTACGGGTCAGGTTATAGTAACTTAAAATTTTGATTTAAATTGAAACATAAATTTATGGTAGTAAATATATTGAAATCTAACAGGTATGGGAAGGAAGCTGGGAGTAGTTATTTTTTTACCATTTCATCAACTCCTAAGCAATTAAATTGTAACGGATTAACGGTTGAAAATTTATGTAAAGAAATTTAAGTTGGTACAACCTAACGTTTTAGTTATAATCAAGTATTTAAAGTAATTAAAAAAATCATATCGATACAATTTTCAAATGATATCTCAAAATTCTTATCTTTACGGGATGTGCTTTCAATTACGGCATTGACATGTAAGTAATAACTGTTTGTGATAACTAACCTTAGATCACATAAAACATAAATTATGAATATTCACTTTGGATACTTAAATTATATCTACCGTAATGTTGGACCGGTAACATTACCATTGTTAGTTTGTCACTGTAACAAACCCTTATAGTGGTGAAAGAACTGATTGGAAAGAGAAATTGAAGGAACCATGTGGGCTGAGTTGGGCTAGTTGCCTGCTCATTTTGGGCTTGGGCTTTAGATAGGGCAAAAGGCTTAGGAATTACAAAGGATCATCTTACTTGAAAGGGGTGCTAAATGTCAAACAAGTATCTGGAAGCATGTAATTATGTACCCTTTTTTTTTAAAGAAAAAAAAAAGGAGTTACTAAAGTTTATTGTAGCAATCATTCCAAGAAAAAGAACGTAAATAAATATTACTAATATTTTTTTAAAATTGTCGAGGGTGCTAAGATACCTATCAATCATTTCGTACAGATGAACTTAACAGTAGTAGAATAGATAAATATTAGGAAGTGATTTTTAATCCTCACTTATTTGATTAGTATCCCCCATTTTTAAAGTTTTTTGTGTTACATCCACACTCTGTTTTATAATCTTAAACTTTTATTTCTTGCATAAATCCTTAAATTAAACTATCATGCACATTGTTTTTATGAAAATACACTGCCACTTTTCAGATTTTGCATTATTTTGATTATAAAATTGAAATTTCTCTTTAAACCCTATTTAATACACTAATTAAGGTTTCATGGGTATTTTGGGTATTAAATATGGTTGAAAGAGAAATTTTTAAATATAAAATAAGTGTATTTAGTAATGTAGGTTTCTGATCAAATAGGTCGGGTCTCAAAGTCATTTCCCCTAGATATTTTACATTTACTAAGGGTGTCAAATTTTTGGGTAAGATCGAAGTTTGTATAGGTCCAAACCCAAGTAAGTGTAGACGTTGGGTTTTGATATTTTGGGCTGGGCCAAGTCTACCTTCATAGAAAATCCAGGTCACTATACCCGGATTAAGGGGTTTAATTACTTAAAAATATTTAAGGTTTATAACTTTGCAGAATAAACCTGTACATCTATAATTATTTATAAAATTAAATCTGTACATGTGATAAAAAAATTCATGAAAATCTTGGAAAAATAAATTTTATATGTCAAAGTCAAACAAATCAAACATATGCTTAAAAAATCTAACATTTATAGGTATTAATATTCTTCCTATTGAAAGTTAAATTTCAGATGTGATAAATAAATTAAACATAAACTTTAAAACACTAACTCCTAACAATATCCCAGTAGTGGCAGAGATTCAAAAACATGTTTAATTAAAATAATGTTTATATTTATTAGTGGGAAAAAAAATAAACAATTTTAATGGAAAACTCATTCTATTAGGAACATCATAACCAATATGGATCAACAAAATAAAAATAACAGTTTTTTGTTTTTTTTTTTTTTTCTAATTAATTTTTGCCATGTATGCATGGATTTGTCTTCCCTTCTCTGTTTTAAGATTTTATATTTCTTTATTGAAATATAATAAAATTACATTGCATGATAAAATTAATAGTGTATATATATATATATACTTCTTCTGGAGCAAATTCTAGTCATTGATGTTACATTCGAAAATAAGACAATGAAAATATTCTAGAAAGTAGAGATATCGAAATACATATAAAAAGTTAATATGCCAAAACGATCATATCTATTGAAACGCTTAATTAATTACATTATCTACTAACAAAATTTATGTTATAATTTTTTTTTTCTTATGTATCTACGGTATATTATAACCTCGTAATTAAGCTTATAGATAAATGGTTGTGTCTTGAATAATTATTTTTGAGATTTTTTAACTATACCTCAGTGTGACAGCAATACAAATAATTGGTTAATTATTTGGATTTGATATTTAATGTCATAATCTGTTATTAATAAAAAAAAGTATTTTTTTAATATAATAATATTCATAATTATGCAATTAGAAACGTTAAGCCATTTTTATTGGGTATATATCAGTTATATTGAACAAACATTTATTAACAATTGGCCACCGTGAATTTAATGTATATTGTATAAATCAACATCAGGCTAAAATATTAAATGTTGATAGATATTTACAAATATCAAATATCAAACTTCGAAAAAGAAAAATTAATTTTGTCCCCCCTTTGAAAGATCTATAATTTTTAGAGATTGATAAATCTTAAGTGTTCTAATGTGGGAGCTTTGGCTGTCTTTGCTTTGTTTTGAAGAAAAAAAAGGAGTTCGTTCATTAATAAAACAAGGAGGACCACTCCACGAAACAAAGCAAAGACAGCCAAAGTTCCCGCACCAGGTCACAGCATCCACACAACCCAACCCGAAGCACCATTAACCAAACAATAGACCCTCTCCCAGCCTTCTTGCTCCAACCGAGCAGTCCACTAGCAAGCATGCACCGCCCAACCTCCCAAAAAGAGATACAAGCATCCCAAGCTTGCTAAAAGGCAAAAGCAGCAAGCAAAACGAACCCAGAAACGGCTAGATCGGTGCAAGGTCAGCCACGTTCGACTAGTCGTGCATCGTTCCAGTGATTGTCAGTGACGGTCGCCAATGGTGGTAAACGGTCGGCAGTTGTCTTGGGTGGTTGAAAGTATTTTGTTAAATTTTAAACTTTTACTGTGGTTGTGGTGTTTTAGTTAAATTTTCAAATATAAAGGTTAAAAGAAATACTTTAAATAATAATAAAATTAAAAAGAAAAGGCAATTCGATAAAAGCTTTTCCCAATAATCTGTTATTCTAATTTAACCAAATATATTAATATAAAATTTCTCAGTAATTTTTAAGGTAATTTATCTCACTGGTAATCCTATCTTTTCATCAATAAAACATTCTTGAAACCAAACGCACCCTAAATCTATCACTAACCCATTTGAACACAATGAAAAAAAAAAAAAAATAGAGTTTATCATTGCATAGAAATCTATAAGTCTATCACTAACCCAGTCTTGTGTGTGCTTAGTTTAATTGTGGGCCGCTAATAGATAATTACCCATTTAGCATGTTTCTTTTTACAAACCAGAGTTAAGCCCACTGTTTATAAAACCTTATATATACTCTTCATTTTTTCCCTCTCTTTTTCTTGTCTTCATAAGTTAGTTAGCTCCATTTGCGTTTCACTTTCATTCAACAATCCTTACTCAAAGAACCAAGAACCCAAATGTCACTTTGAACGGAGTTCATCAATACATTTCTTTTTTCTCTTTTTTTTTTTTTTTTTCAGAAATTAATGGCTGGACACGGTTTTTTTTTATTCAAGTTATTAAATTTAGATAATTTTATTTGTTTTATAGAATCAAATTGGTCTTGTTTGGAGGGTTTCTTTTTTTGCAGAGAGATGAATGAGAGTTCTATTAACGATAAAGGTGAGGAATTCTTTATTTTATTTTTGGTAGATTCTTGTTAAATATTTGGAATCTTTTACTGAATTTATTTGATTATATTCTATCAAGATTTGGCCTGTTTGCATGATCTGAAAGATCTATGGAGTAAAAAAGCATAAGCGGAGAGTGGTTGCAGAAAAGATGAAGAGAAAAAAATCAAAATTGAGTTGTGACGTGTCTTATCTGGGGACTGTGGTTGTGGGATGCTACAGTTCATTTCGGGATTAGGTGGGTTCTGATTAAAGAAAAAAAAAAAATGGTGGTTGGGTCCAATGTAAAATATTGAATAAAAAAGAGAGGAAACTTAGCTGCCATTGTTGACACTTGTTGCCCCTTGAAACTTGCAAGTAGTTTGTTCAGCTTGCTGAATTGACTATTGTACCCCTATTTTACTTCACTCTTTGAAACTCTTTAAATATGAGAATCGGTAGACAGACTCCTGCAAGTGAGATTTCTCAACAAGTTTTGGTCTTCTTGAAAGAAATTAGCCAAAGAAGAACATGTTAAGCTCCGAGCTAAACCACCACAGTCATGCTCAAACTCAAAACCATGTTGCCATCGAAAGGTTTTAACTTCTATTCTTCATTCAATTTTTATTCATTTTTCAATTCATTCAAGTATTATATTTTATTCAAACATGGTGAAAATTTAGATGACTTTAATGGCAAGGAACAAAATTTCATTTCATTGGCGCAATGCAGTGTATCAGAGATTGGAAATAAATCAAGAAGAAAAAGAGAAAGATGGCAAAAGTAGCAAGACAACTGCCAAAGAATGCCAAGAAAGAGAGAAGAATCTGTATATTTTGTATATTCACTCTTAATGAAATGTATAACCCTATTTATACAAATCTAGTGTGATAATGAAAGGCAATAGCAATAATGCTCGAATTTCCCAATCACATGAAATCCGGACATTAATGTACAATGAATGGAAAGAATTAATTACACATTAATACAAATATATTCATATCTCAACACTCCCCCTCAAACTTGCGGTGGGTAAATATCATAAACGTCAAGCTTGCGTGGTAGATATGATTGTTGTTATTGCATAGTGTTTAGTAAAGATATCTGTTGGTTGCTTTGTAGTACCAATGTGCATAGTTTTAATGATTCCTTTCTAATTTTTTGCTCTTATGAAGTAACAGTCAATCTCTATATGTTTCTTTCTCTATGAAACCCTGGATTTGCTGCCTTATTATCACAATATAAATGGACAAGGTTTTTTACTTGGACTTCTAGATCTCCCAATAATCCAAGAACCCAAGTGATTTCACAGGTGGTTTTGCCCATAGATTTGTATTCAGCTTCTGCTAATGAAAGAGATACCGTGGACTGTTTTTTTGTTTTCTAGGAAATCAATGTTTCTCCAAGTTTTACACAAAAGCCAGTAAGTGATCTTCTCGTCATTGGACATGTGCCCCAATTTGAGTCACAACAGGCTGTGACATCAAGGTTTGCATTTCGAGATAAGAGAAGTCCTAATCCAGGACATCCCTTTAGATACTTTATTACCTTCACTGCTACATCCATATGAGATTGTTTGGACCCATGCATGAATTGACTGAGGATATGGATTGCATAACTGATGTTTGGTTGTGTCATAGTGAGATAGATGAGACGTCCCACAAGTCTCTGATAATGTGATGCATCTTCTAATGGTGGATCCATTTCTGAGGATGATATTGCTCTGTCATACTCTTGGGTAATGAGTTTGGAGTTTTGCTCAACAGGAATAATACTTGGTTTACATGCCGATAAACCAGAATCAGACACAAGTTCCAGAACGTATTTCCGTTGGCTAAGAGATGTCACTGTTGGAGATCTTGCAATTTAAATTCCAAGGAAATATTTTGGTTCTCCTCTTTTAAGATCTTGATGGCTGTTTCATCATTTCTTGTGATTAGAATGTCATCTACGTATATAATAAGAGCAATGAAAGAGTTACCTCTTCGTCTGGAGAAAAAAACATAATCATGTTTAGATTGAGAAAATTCGAGACTTGTGAGAGCTTTAGTGAACTTCTCATTCCACTATTGCGATGCTTGCTTCAAACCATATAAGAACTTTCAAAGACGGCATACTGTATCCCCCCTTGTCGTTGAAGTCCCGGAGGAAGATTCATGTAAATTTCTTCGTGGAGATCACCATGGAGAAAAGCATTGTGAATGTCCATTTGATGTAAGGTCCAGTCACAAACAGAAGCCACTGTTACGAAAGTGCGGATAAAAACATGTTTGGCCACTGAAGAGAAAGTGTCAACATAATCAAACCCTTCACGCTGAGTGAAGCTTTTTACAACCAATGTGGCTTTATATCTCTCAATGGAGCCATCAGAATAGTGTTTGATACCCATTTGTAGCTAATAGGTTTTTGGTGTGTTAGACATGGTACTAAGTCCCATGTATGATTAAGTGCAAGAGCAGAAAGTTCTTCAGGCATGGCCTGGCGCTAGTGAGAGTGAGAAACAGCTTCAGAATAACAAGAAGGTTCTCGTTCTACAGAAATCTGACCGATACAAACCCTGTCGGTTAGAGAGAGTTTATCATAGTTGACATAGTTAGATGTTGGATAAGGAATACCTGTGCAGGTCTGTATCATGGGACAATCATAATCAACTGCCTAAATAGGAGGCTGGGTTGTGTGTCGGCCTGGAGGAGGATTAGGAACTCTGGCAGGGGATTATGGTGGAATGCTGCTGATGGAAGTTTCTTCTGCTGAAAGGGTAGTAGACTAAGGAGCTATTGGTAAATCTGTAGTACCAGTAGCAAGGGGAGTAGGGATGAGCTCAAAAGATGCTCCTGAGGAAGGGTCATCTTCCAAAGAAGGTGTTATCTAAGATTGGCTAGAACTAAGAACTGCATCATGATAAGGAAATATTTCCTCATGAAAAACAACATCATGAGATACCAGGAACTTCTTTGTTGCTAGATCATATAACCTGTACCCCTTTTGTAGCATAGGATAATCCCATGAAAATATACGGTGTAGCCTAGGCTCCAAATTTGTCATGGGATCCCATAACTTTGGAATACCAGAGGACCCCAAATACTCTAAGGTGACTGATATCTAGAGCTTTCCCAAAGACTAACTCATATAGTGTTTTACCACCTAACACTCAAGATGGCATGCGATTGATTAAGTAAGTAGTTGTGACCATACATTCACCTTAAAAGGACAAAGGTAAGTTGGCTTAGTGTTTTAGAGCCCGGGTAACTTCTAATAAATGCCTGTGTTTACGTTCAACTACCTCGTTTTGTTGAGGAGTGTATGTATATGAACTCTTATGGAGGATTCCAAGGGAAGACAAAAGGGCAGACCAAGTGTGGTTAAAAATTTATTGGCATTATTAGATCATGCCCATTGAACAAAGTATTTAAATTGTGTGGTGACCATGGCTAAGAAGTTCCTAAGGTGAGTAAGTGTTTGATCTTTGGACTACATAGTAAATACCCAAGTTCCCAGGGAAAAATCATCTATTATGGTGAGGAAAAAACAAGATCCATCATGATTTCTAGTGTGATAAGGATCCCAAATATCTAGATGAATAAGAGCAAAAGGATGTGTGGTAGTGGATGTGCTTTGTGGGAAAATTGTTTGAGCTTGTTTGGCCAGAGGACAAATTGGACATTTAGGTTGAGGGATAGAAACACTATGACCCAATCGTTGATGGGAAATATAGGAATTTTTATTAATGTTTAGGGTACAAAGAGAAACTTTATTGGTAATACAATCATAAGTAAATGACGAAAAGACATCAGGTGTCCAATAATAAAGGTCGTTATGCACTCTACCCAAGCCCATCAATTTCCTAGTCGAAGGGTCCTAAAATTCAAATTTGTTAGGATAAAATCATAAAAGGCAATTATTATCTTGATAATTTTTTGACACGGAAATTAGGTTTAGATGAAACGTAGGGATAAAAAGCACATTCTTAAAGACCAAGGATTTTGAAAGGTGGACAGTTCTTATTTGGGGAGCAAGGGTAGAGTTCCCATTGGGCATACGTTAGAAGTGCTGGACGTGTTTGTGGTATGGTGGAAATATTTAGGGTTGCAAATGATATGGTCACTAGCTCTTGAATCTATTATCCAAATATCATTCTTAATTAAATTAGAATAAAAGTATGTACTTGCATATGCTACCATTGATGTTTGAGAGGCAATGTTCAACATTTGCAACAGTTGGGTATATTGTTTAAGGCTGAGCTGGGGAGTCGAAACAGAATCAGTACTTGAAACTTGATAAACTAAAGACTTTCCATTTTTATCCTTGGTAGGACGACCATGCAATTTCCAGCAATGATCTTTGTTGTGGTTTTGGCTTTTGCAGTAATTACAATAATATTTTGATTTGCTATGCTTGATTGCCTAGACCAATTTCGCCAATTGGTTTGCACAAGCCCATTTGCTCTATTGTTGTCATTTGAGCTAAAACCTTGACCCATATTTGCTTTTGGCCCAATTTGAGTTTGTAAAAGGGAGAGAAGTTTTGAGCCGTCAGATTGAGGGGTTGCATTTGGGCCATTGGAGGGTTGATATAAATTCATACCTTTCTCATTTTGTAACCCTAGTTTCAGTTTAAGAGTGTTAGCCAAATCGGAGAGAGAAAAGAGAGAGGGGTGTACCTCTTTGCCATCGGCAAAGGCCATGGTATCACTGTGCCGAGGGCCATCCATGAGAAGCTGCCATTGGCTCTCGTCTTGGACGACAAGTTGAAAGGTTCGACGTAAGGATGACGGTGGTGTGGTGGCAAGGATTTGTGTCTGAAAGGGCAAAGATCTTTCATTGAGGCTAAGAAGGAAATAGCTCAGACGATCGCGATCTTGAATTTGTTGGTATTAACGGAGTATCTACAATGGTGCATCAAGTTTGGCTTAGACAGCATCCAAAGCATTCCAAGCCATCGAGAGTTTATTGAAGTAGGTCGTGACTGTCATGTTAGCTTGTTTAATCTCGGCAAGATGTTGCCAGAGAGTAAAGGTTTGGGTGACATCAAACCGACCATACATCTCGCGAATGTGGGTCTAGGTTTCAGCCGTAATTTCAGTTGGTGGTAGGTCGGCTGCTACTTCCGGTGACAAGCAATTGCCAATCCAGAATCTTATGAGCATGTTGCATCGATTCCATTAGCGAAGGAGATTCAAATTTGTGGGTGTTGGAATGGTCTCGTCGACGAAGACCTCTTTGTCTTTGGCAATGAGAGCTCACTGGAAATCAGTAGCCAATGTGTTGCAGTTTTTAAATTCGATCAAAATAGCTTTGACCAAGATGATTTTGGGTCCATCAGAGGCCGGCACATACAAAATGTTGCTTGGTTCGCGGCACCTGGCATTGGGTACCATGTGGAAGGTGAAGGGTGGTTGGGTCGGGTAGGGCTTTGGACCTGTTTGTGGATTTTGACCCATAGGATAACCCGAAAAGGTAAACGGGTAAGGAAATGGGTTTGGGCTGGAGTAGGTGCCCTAGAGCCAATCAATTATTGTGGAATTGACTCTTTGTAATAATGTTTATTAATCAATAAAAGACATTATCTACTATATCATGTAAACCATAGTTGTATGTATTGATAGATGTCATTAGAATGATAGAACCGTGACGAGGGTATCAAGTGTTTCAAATCCTGATAGTGAGAACCCTATGAGCATATATGGTGGCCATTCTAGAAACGTCCGTAACCCTAGTATTATTCTGACCGAGGGCCCAAATAATACAGTAAGGCTATCATAGTGTTAAGTGACCCTATTGAAAGACAGTGACAGATCTCACTTGTCAAGGTTGTTGGGTGACAACCTGGTGCTGTTAGAGTAGGTTCCTTAGAGCCAATCAATTATTGTAAAATTGATTCTGTAATAAATGTTTATTTATCAATAAAAGGCATATTCTTCTATATCGTGTATGTAATGATATATGTCCTTAGGATGGTAGAATCGTGATGAGGGTATCAAGTATTTCAAATCTTGATAGTGAGAACCCTATGATCACATATGGTGGCCATTCTAGAAACCTCCGTAGCCCTAGTATTATTCTGACCAAGGGCACAGATAATATGGTAAGGCTATCATAGTGTTGAACGATCCTGTCGAAAGGCAGTGATTGATCTCACTTATCAAGGTTATTTGTTGACAACCTGGTGTAACGTATGGGTGCTTGCTAAAGGCAAGTTCACTGGATAGACCCACCAGATGATTCCATATGGATGGTAACCCCAGTATCTATGGAATAAATCCTCTAACGGATGGTGGTGCATGTGATTCTTAGACTTGAGATCACCGAAGCTCCTTGTGCACCAATTGGTGTAGTTTGACACTAGCCCAACGTAGTTCTATTTAGAGCTATCAATACGGTAGTGATTGGCTACATTGAGAAGTGTATCAAGACTATGGTGGATCGATAAAGGATTCATCACTCCTGGGTATGGGAGAAGTTATCTCACTGGGTAATTCAGTAAATGGCAATGATACTAAATCTGTGGCTACAGTGGGATTGAGTTAATGCTCAATCCAATTTAATATTTCTGTCATTGGTCCAGTAACTAAATACAAACATGTCGAGGATATCTGAGGTTGACACTATTTCTGTACCTCAGTCTCAATGAGATAACAGTTGATGAAACAATTTGATTGCACGGTAAGCAAACCGTTGACAAGCCGTGGTTTCGCTGAATCCGAATATATCAGGTGGCCATGATGCCTTGCAAGGGGCCAATCTTGGTCTGTGTGTAGTGAGACGATTAATTGGTGTTAATCGTGATACTACACACTACTGATATGATGAGGAGCCTACGGGTCACACTGTTAGAAGATAATTTAAGAATCAATTTGTGAGAATGGTATTTTTTGTCTTTTAGGACGAAGATGTATTTTGGTAATCTCACAGTGCAATTAAATTTGCTGAGGTTGTTGCCTGTATTTAATTTTAATATCTCTGTATATAAGTGCAACTTAAAATTAAAACAAAGAGGGAGAATTATTCATTCAATTAAAACCCTAGCCACCCCCTCTCTCTCTCTCTCTCAAGAAGAAAACTTTTCTTGTTCTTCTTTCTTGATTCTTGAACCCCTTGATTGTTCTAGCAAAATAATCAAGGGTTCTGCGGATTATCTTCGTGCGGACTTCCATGAGTGTGATCCTACTTTGGATCGATTGATGAAAAATCACGTGAACAGTAGACAATGAACAGTAACCGTGAACAGTATTGTGAAAAGTGTTCTTGTCTGAAATCAGAGATTTTCAAAGAAGCCTCCAAAAGCACGTAAGTATTCTGATAATCCGTGGATTATACAATTTTCATTAGACTTTTTAATCGGATTTCAAGTACTTTCTAGTGCATTTTAACCTGAATTGTTGCTTAATTC